CGCTCCAAGCCGGGGTGGCGGCCGCGGCGAAACCGAGCAGCCCCCGCGGCGGCGGAGGGAGTAGTGGTAGACTAGGCGGGACGCCGGCCCAGGCGCCCGGACGGCGGCGGGCTGCTGAGATAGCCACCAAAAGACCTCTTGCCCCGCCTGTGGGGCAGGGGCTTGGCCCGGAGGAGCCAAGCCCTACAGACCAGAGGATTCAGAGGCCCCCCTGACACCTAGGAGCTTGCAGGTGGACTCCCCAACACCTCCCTGAACCCTGGAACCCTGACTAGTTGCTCCTGGCCCTTTACACCCCCTGGCAGGTCACCCCGCAGTCCCACCCCAGGTCCTGCCCTCCTGGCACCCCCCTCAGCCCACCCCCAACCCTGGGCACAGAAAGGGACTGAAGTCTTGGGGCAGAGGAGGGGCTTAGGGCCCGGGGCACTGGCTGGGAGGAGGGCGGTGAGCTGAGAGCAGGGATGTTGCTCTGCTGCATCCTGCCCCTTTCCTGGGAGGCTGGAGGGGAGAGGCCAAGTCCCCTGCAAAATGTAGCAAATGTCTGGATGTTGCAAAAGTGTGTGTGTGCAGAGACAGGCCCCTGAGAATCTAGTGACCCCCACAACGCATTCCCCCGAGGAGGACACTGAGCCCACCAGGAGGGCAACTTGTCTGGGGCCACACAGCCACGAAAGGTGGGCCTCTAGTAGCGTCCCCCCTCCTCCCCAGGGATTGTTGTGACAACTCCTGGACAGAAGGGCTCCCGGGGCAGGGGCCTCAGCTGCCACTGCATCCCTAGGGCAGGGGAGGGAGTGCAGAGCCCAGGGCCGGCCCAGCTTCCCCTGCCGGCTGCACCTTCTCCAGACCCAGGGCACCTCTCCGATCCTCGCCACCCCGGCCCAGACACAGAGGCCTGGGCTTCTGGCAGACAGCGAGGTGATATGTGCCAGGAGTTCCTCCTGGGTTTCTGCTGGGGTAGAACACGTCCGCCTCGGGCTGACCCCATCTCCATGCCTAAGTTTCTGGCACTGGAGTGTGCTGCTGTAGGTATGAGAACGGGGGCTGTAGAAATGTGAGGGGGGTGAGTATGTGACAGGTGTGTGTGGTGTGAGCGTGAGTAGAGTGCATGTGTGTGCGTGGAGGCTTGTGTGTTGTGACTGCATCCAGACACCTCAGCAACTCCGCCCCACCCCCAGGATTCTCTCCAGGCAGCTGCCAGAGGCCGTCCAGGCCTGCGTTTCACCACACCCCTCAGGGAATCCCCAAGGAGGCACCTGCAGGTTGGTTCAGGCCCTTAGGCAGCAAAATGGATTCACCCAGCGCCCCCTCATGACCCCTGCCCTCTGTGGAGGCCCGGGACCCCGCAATAACCTCAACGTGGGTGAGGCTGCTCCCTCTGCCTGGCAGTGCCCCATCCACCGTCCCGGGCCACTCCTGTCAGGTCCCTCCTGGGGTTCTAGGCCATTTGAGGGGGCTCCCTGATGGCCAGGCTGACCAGAGGGGGCCCTGACCACCCTCTGGCCTGGAGCCCCCACCTCTCTACTCACCTCTCATTCCCAGTGCGCAAAAGGGCTATAGGTCCCCCTGCCCTGCCCGGGTCCAGTTTACAAACAGCGTGCGGCTGCCCCAGGGCCTGGACCCCTTTCCCCGATGTGCCCACCCCTCTCGACACCCACCTCCCAGCAGGCATTGGGGCCCTCCACATGCCAGGTAAGTAGCAAACCCCTCCTCCCACCAAGGGCCAAGTCTCTGAGAAGGCCCCTCATCAGTGCCCCCGGCTCACCTGGAGCTCCTGAGCCGTCTGGGTGCCTCTCCCAGCCGCGACTTCTCCTTTTGCCTTAGGCCTCTCGACATCCTGTCTCTCCTGCAATAATAAGGAAGCGAGATTCCACATAGACGTCCTTGCCGTGCACCCTCTCTCTCTCTCTGTTAAGATCCTGTGTGGGAGTTTCTCCCTTGTCGTAGTATCTAGGATATTAGAGCTGGGAAGTGACCGTAGTTCTGTAGCCCAGCCCCTGTTTCAGAGGCAAGGGGGCAGCAACGGCCCGACGCAGAAGCGGAACCAGAACCAGGTCTGCTCCTTCCCTGTCCGGGCCCACTGCTGCTGCCTCCGCCTCTGCTGGTCGGGTTGGGACCCTTTGCCCCTTAAGAGAGGTGTTGGTCACAGATGTTTACCTCAGTTTATGTCACTGTCGAAGAAACAGAAAATAAATAGCAAAAAATTAATAACAACGTAGACGTGAAGACTTAGAAGATAAAAATCTTACACAAAAAAAACTCCCCCCTTGCGGTTCTTCTGTGAAGGTGTATGTGTGTGTGTGTGTGTGTGTCTCTGTCCCACCCCGGGCAGGCTGGGTCATCCCCGACCTCTGTTCCAGCCCCTGTGCCCCGCACATGGTCCTCTGTCCTTCGGTGCTTCCCAGAGGCCCCTCTGAGCTGGCCTGTGGGGTGTGGGGAGCCCCGTGGGCGGGAGGCAGGGCCACAGGTCAGCTAGAGGGTCTCCCACCAGGCCCGCCGATGCTCCCGGAGCCCATGCTGTGGCCGGTGGGACAGTCCTGGTGGTTGGCATCAGAGTCCAGGCCTGGCTCAGGGCTGGGGTGGAATCCCAGCCCTGGAGCCCCAGACCCTCCTGTCTTGCCACCCTCCCCCACCATGTGTTTGTAAATACTCTGGCATCCTTTGGCCCTGAGAAGGTTTTTAAATGTGTTATTTACTTCTCTAATCATGACAATTGCTATAAAATAAACAAGAGTTTAGAAAAATTACCACTGGGTGCCTGTCGTGTCTCAGATATGGGGTAGGGAGGTGGGCACACAGAATTACTCTAGAAACTGAAAACTTGACAGCTGTTCTAAGGTGGGATCTGCAGAGTCTGTGGGCAGCTACTCGAGGCCTCCTGTGGCCTCTCGGACATAGAGTAGGCCCAGGCCAAGGCCTGAGTGTGGAGCGAGCAAGGGCTGGGTTCTGGGGAAGGGGCTGTAGGCATTTGCCCGTGGTCTAGAGTCCAGCTTCAGCTTGGAGCCCTTCAGACTGGGCAGGAAATAGAAGCGGACGCCCAGAGCAGCAGAGTAGGCCGAGTCATCCAGTCACCACTCAGCAAATATTTGCCGAGCCCTGTCTGTGTACCGGGCTTCCTACTAGGGGCCAGAGACACGGCAGGGAGCAGGACAGACGGGCCCCCGTCCTCAGGCAGATAATGATGGAGACACGTTACCCACATAGAAGGCTGGGTGCTGGGAAAGGATGTAACTGGGAAGCTCATCAGATTTGGAGGAGCCGGGAGCGCCGCAAAGACAGAGACCAGAGGATTCGGAGTTCCCCGGGCATCGGGGCATAGCCACGTAGGAAGAGGCTGAACGAGCAGAGGCTGCAGACTGCAGGGACAGGCCAAGTGGAAGTCCTAAAGCAGGGGGCTCGGGGTGGGGGGGCTGTGGGGAGTTTCCTGGTACAAGCTTCATTCAGCAAATATTTGTTAATTACATACGTGTGTCAACAGAACAATTCTGCTGCCTTCAAATACAGGTCTACCCAGACTCTGAGCACTCTGGCCACCCGCGCTGCCCCTGCTAGACGCGGTCACCCCTCGCCTGGCCTATTGCAGTAGCTCCTGGCTGCTCTCCCGACTCCTCCCTGAGCCACTTCAGGCTTCTCAGAACAGCAGCCAGAGCGAGTCCTTTCACAGGTCTGTCATTCTGTTCAAAACCCTACACCAGCTCCCTAATCCACCCAAATCAAAGCTGAAGTCCTCACAGTGGCCTCTTCGTCTGCTCCTCTCCTGCGCTACCATCAGGCCACACTGGCCTCTGGGAGGGCCAAGCACGCTCTTCCCTCAGGGCCTGTGCCCTTGCCTTGGACTGTCCCAGGTCTCCCGGAACCCCCTCCCTCTCTCCTTCAGGTCCCTGCTCAGATATCAGCGGATCAGAGAACACTTCCTGGAACAGACGCCCCTCACCCCGCTTCATTCCTCACCGAACCTCGTCAGCACTCACAGTACCACATGCGTGTTTGTTCTCATCTCTTCCCACCAGAGTGAAGGTTCCAGAAGAGCAGAGTCCGTGTGTGGCAGACTGCTACTCCCCTCCCCACCCCCCATGCCTAGCACAGGGCCAGGCACATGACAGGCACTCTGGAATGATTTGTCAAATGAATGAATGAATGCCCAATACTGTTTTAGGGGCTGAGGAGACAGCAATAAACAAGACAACCCCATCCCCTGAAGCTTACTTTCTGAAGAAGAAAACAGACATTAAATAGGTTATGTAATTAGCTATGAAATGGAGGGTGGAGAGTGAAAAGAGAAAGCGAGAAAAGTAAGAAAAGAAGAAGAAAAAAAATCCAGACCAGAGCAAGAAGGACTCCTACCCAAGAATTTGATCAAAACGCTGTCATTTCAAAATGTCTGCCACTTGCCTGCAATGAATGATAAGGGTGGATACCTGGGGGCGGTAATCCCTTTACTGAACAGAACACCTTAGTGGATTTTTAAGGGGTCGAGGGGAAATCTACAAATGCAAACACTGGTTCCCCCTCGGTGTTCAGATCAGCTCTTTATAACTCTCAATGTGTCAGAGAAGGCCAGGACTTACCACTAGGGGGCCTTGGTTTTCTGCTGCTGTTGCTTCCGCCTGCCACTCAGGGTGGCCGCTGAACTCCTGCATCCTCTGGGGTGGTAAAGCCATCGTCCCAGGCCAAAGGGCCTTAACCAGAAGGGTTTCCAGCCTCACCCACACACTGTATTAGAACCTGACCAACCTCTGTAACCCCTCAGGTCCTTCCATTTAGCCTGGGTCACCTCCCCTTGATCATGGCAAGTTCCTCCTCAGGGCACTTAATGTCCTTTCCTGCCCATAGTCTTCACTCTAGACTAACACAGTCCATCAAAAAGGTTCCCATAACAGTGAACTTCAGAAGGGAAGGGATTGTATTCTTGATTCCCTTTATCCCCAAGATGCTCCTTGAGCCCTATGCAAAATTTCCCTACTCCTCACCAGTGACAGCTAAGCATGCCAAGACAAGGGTATTGGAAGGGACAACCTCAAAGGTCCCATCATACCCGTCCCACAAAGATGCCTAGTCAACTTACACCACTGAGTGAGATCATCCCGAACGGCCTCTCTCTCTCGAGACGTAGAGCCCTGCCCACCCACCTAGCGCCTGGTTCAGGGTGGAAATGTGGGCGTAAGAAAAATAATTTAGAAGTATTTACTGGCAGTTGAGGGGAGGAGACTGTTCATCACCCAGGCTTAGGCTAATGGAGCTTTGGGGCAATGGAAGAATTCAGGGGGTTCCATTTGGAGCCAAAGGAGGGCAGAAATAGGATGGTGGCTCCAGAGGCCAAGAGCATACAGGGACAGCCAAGAAGTGGGCTGTCTAATTAACATCCTGTATTGTATACTCGAAATTTGCTAAGAAAGTGTATCTTAAGTGTTCTCACCACACACACAAAAAAAATTCTAGCTATGTGATATGATGGATATATTAATTAGCTTGATTGTGGTGATCATTTGACAACATACATGTATATCAAAATATCAAGTTGTACACCTTAAATATATACAATTTTTATTTGTCAATTATACCCTCAATAAAGCTAAGAAGAAAAAAAGAAGTCGGCTGGGCATGGCCTGACTCGAAACAGCAAACCCCAACCTGGGAATCCTCAGAGAGATGGTGAAAGGCCTGATTGTCCTTAGTATGTGGTAAGGGGGTTCAAGTCATTCTATTTTGATGTTAAGGGTATGTGGAAGGTGACAGCAGAAGGTGGAGGATTTGGGGTTATATTTAATTACAGTTGTGATAAGGACTATGGGATGCTAAGAGTAACATAAGATGCAGTGGACGTCTGCTATGTTTCCCTGTTCAGCACCCACTCTCTCCCCCTTCTTTAGGTGACAGCACCCCCTCAACTTTCCCTTCCATGTTCTTGATCCATGTGGTTCGGGTGGGGCTGACTCCACTCCTTGGCTCCATGGGGTGGCCGCATGACCCAGGTCTGGTCAAGCGGCACATTCCATCCCCTGAGCCACAGCGGTTGGCTTCAGTGTGGACACACAGCCTGAGCCAGGCAGCCCTGGCCTTTTTCTACAACCATTAGGGGAAAGAGTGTTCTCCTTTCGTTAGAGTTGCTGAGCTTGTGGGATGTAAGCCTGGACCAGCTGATGGCCATCTCTGCCACCACTTGGGGAGATTCTGGCCAAGCATGAAGCCTACACAGAGTGACTGAAGCAGGGCCAAGAGATGGAATCTGACGACATTATTTAAGCACAGGGATCCATGACTGAAATTAGATCTAAATAGGTTTTTCTGTTATGTAAGCCAATATATTCTCACAAATCCATTTTAGTTTCGTGTCTGTTGCTTGCCAGTAAAGGAATTCTGACTGGTACCCAGAGAAATGTAATCTGTAAGACCCCTGAAGCCACCAGTATCTATGGGGCCCTGCCCTATAGCAGCTCCTGACCCACACAAGAAAAGTCCAGAAGTGGAACCAACTTCAGAGGCTTCAACTTTGACACTAGGACGGGTTTCTCTCTCCATCTGCTCTGCTTCCTCTGGGTAGACTTATCCCTGGACTTCTTCCTCTCTCCTTGTAGTGTAGGATGGCTGCCAGCCGCCCCCACTCGCATCCTCTCAGACTGAGACCCAGCACGAAGGAGTGAGCATCCCTTTCCCAGCCGTCCTGTCGAGGTTGGTGCTTGTACTGTGCTTGC